CTCTTCCCGGGAGTGGCTAAGCCACTAAGCCGACACTGACACGTGGCACCTCCCTGCTGCTACTGTAAGGAGCTTCCCACGAGTGCTCCATGCCGGCGCGGCCGTGCAGCCACTACCCCGTCTCCCCGGGGGCAGCTGTCAGCCTTCCTCTCAGGTGAGGGGGCAGGGGCAGAGCAGGAACCTGCCCCGAGTCAGGCTGTAGGAGCCCAGCCAGGTGGGACCTCCGTGACCCTGACTCGGGGCTGTAGAACGGGCCGAGGGGAGGCCCCCACGGGAGCTGCTGTGGCAGAGCCCGTGTCTTGGTGACCCAGAGTGAACCGCTGCAGCCCACAGACGGGCCTGAGTACCGCAGCCCGGCACTGGTTAGCTGACACCTCCCTTCTCTTCAAGCCCTTCCATGTCGCCTTCTATCAGGAACTGAGTCGGCAAAGTCAGGACACAAAGCCTGGCCACCGCCGACCCACCTGCTGTGCCCACCACCCCAACCTTGAGGCTGGAGGAGCCGTCCAGTCATTCCCGGGGCTTTGCGAGTTCTCTGGTCACGTGTTCATGTGGTCCGGTCCCTGCCCTGGGCCTCTGCGTGAAGCCCCATCCTTCAGTTGGGACCCTACCCACCCCTGTGTGTGTCGGAGCTGGGGGGCCCTCTCTCGTGGGGGTGGAGCTCTTGCCTACTGGCCCTGCTGAGCTGCCAGGAGCCCTGTCCCTGTCCCCGGCCCACCCTGGCTTGCACTTCCCTCACCCACAGCTGACATCTTGGAGGAAGGAATGCCAGGGTCTTTTCCCCCACCAGGGGACAGGCAGGCCTGAGTAGGGAAGAGGAGGAGGCCCAGGACAAGGGTAGGTGGCTGCCCGAGGCCACCCGACTGGTGTCCCCGGGGCAGGTGAAGCCCTCGACTTGTTGGCAGGGCAGCGCTCTCCTGGCCTCACCATCCGCCTTCCCTTCCAGATCCCCGTCACCCAGGCCTGCCTCATGGAGGACATCGAGCAGTGGCTGTCCACGGACGTGGTGAGTCGGGCCCACTCCTCGCCAACTTGCCAGGGATCCCATTTTTCTCATGTTGGAGTGAGTGGCCGCGGGACAGTTGGAGTTGTGAAGTCCCCAAGGGGACAGGGGAACATTGTGAGGAGATGAGCATCGTCCCATCCCCTGGCACTCCCCTGCCTCTGCCAGGGCACTGCCCCAAAGAGCTCGAGCGTAGCACCTCTCAGCTGCATCACAGAGCACAGCCGGGGCTGGCAGCTCCCTTCTCTACAGGGACTGCTGAGCTGTCTGCAGGCCCCAAAGCCCGCTGCCCTGCAGGGAGCAGAAGAGACAGGAGTCAGAGTTGACTCTGCCAGGGCCCCTCCCCCAGCTACCCCCCTGACCCCGCTCAGGGCACACCCAGGCCCAGAGGCTGCCATCAGCAAGGCAGGACTGCTTCTGCCCGAGGTCAGGCCCTTCTGTCGAGTGCTGGAAGCCTCACAGCACTCACGCGCCCCTCACCCCGCAGCTCTAATGAGTGGCCCTGAGCTGCTAGGTCTCAGCCTTCCTCCGCAGGGCGAGACTTCCCACTGCTCTGGGTACCGGAAGCAAAGGAGCACTTTTTTTTTTTTTTTAAGATTTACTTACTTCATTCCATTTGTTATGATCATTTTTTAATTTGACCAGAGACGGGCAGAGAGACAGGGAAAGCGAGAAAGCAAGCCGCCAGGTCCAGGACTCAAACCGTGGTCAGCCATGTGGGAATCCAGCGTCCTTAACCATCACACCACCCCCAGTCCCAGGACTCAAACCGTGGTCAGCCATGGGGGAATCCAGCGGCCTTAACCATCACACCACCTGCCGGCCCCAGAAAGGAGCACATTCATTGAGTGCCCACCCTCGGTTGGGCTGTGCTGCTCACGAAGGGTTGGAGCTGAGCCCCCCCACTCACCATCAGGGTTAGGGGGGGACCCGGGAAAGACAACAGCTGACCCCAGGCCCTGCTAACCTCTCTTACTCTCTGCCTTCTCAGGGGAAGGACGCGGAAGAGCCCAAGGGCGTCACCAGTGAAGGTAGGAAGTAGCCCCTGCCCCTGCCGCCACCCCTTCCCAGGCACTGGCCCCAGAGCCCACCCCCACCATGCTTCTCCTGCCTCTTGTCAGAGTTTGACAAGTTCCTGGAAGAACGGGCCAAAGCCGCCGACCGGTTGCCCGACCTGTCTAGCCCCTCTGCTGAGAGGCCCCCTGGGCCCCCTCCTGGCACGGCTCCTCGGAAGAAGGCCCAGGAGAAGGACGACGACATGCTGTTTGCCCTGTGAGCGGGTCTGGCACCCTGCGGCCCAGGACCGCCGCTGCACCCTGGCTGGGCCTCTCTCCCCCCTTTGGTGTTCTGGCTGCTTCAGGGTGGCTTCTGACCCCTTCTCTCCTGGAGGCTGGACTGCCCCAGTGCCAGGACTGCTGGGCCCTACCAGCGGGAGGCAGGGAGGCAGCAGGTGGACTTGGAGAACAGGCTGGCTCCTCCCTACTCCTGGCCACTGCAGCTGGCCGAGAAGGGGAGGCCAGACCAGGCAGCCTGGCTGCTTGGTCACCGGATGTGACTCCTCGCCCTGAGTAACCTCCGCTCCTGGCTCTGCCCCTGAGGAGCCCTGAGGAGCCTACGCTGCCCACCCGGACCTGGCTGGGGCTGGCAATAATGGGCACCGTGCTGCGCAGCCTCTCGCCTGTTCTCAGCCGGCCTGGTGAGGTCTGGAGGGTGGGGCATGGTGCCTGCTGAGCTGCTCACAGCTCAGGTGCAGGGCGGCATGTGGGGCAAGATCCCCCAGCCCCAGGCTGCCAGGTGAGGCCCTGGAGATGCCAGCCCCACCCATGCCAGGCCTGCCACTGCCTTGTCTGTCCGTCCTTCCTGTCCCCCATCAGAGCTGCCTGGGCGCTGGGGCCCAGCTCTTGGTTGACCCACTTGTGGCGGGAGAGGTGCCTTCTGTAGCCCAATTAAAGGTAGAAAGCCACCTGCTGGCTGTGCCGTCCGTCTCCGGGAGGAAAGGAAGTTCCTGTTGCAGGGGCAGGGAGCACTGTGGGCTGGGCGGGGGGAGTCTGAGAGGTGGGCATAGCAGATGGTGAACAAGCCAGAGAGGTGCCCGGTGGCACCTGCATGCCCACTCCCTCCCCGAGTGGCCTCCCTGTCTCCGCAGGGCCCCCTCACCCTGCGACCCCCTGTGGCAGCACAGTGATCCCGTGGGATGGCGGGGTGGGCGTGCGGGGTAAGTAGGCCGCAGGGAGCATGCCCCTGTCCCGCACAGGGCCCAGGTGCCAGCTACTCACGGAACCGTCACAGCATCCGTGAAGTAGCTACTACATTCTGCAGCCACTGAGACCGTGACTCAGCGCATCATGTGAGCTGCCCCGGCTCGGAGGAAGAGGAAGGGCAACCCCTGTCACGGCTGAGCATTTCCTCAGGCACAAGTGCATTGTCCCCACCCTCCAGATGACAACCCCGGAGCCCAGTTTGGATGACTCGGCACACAGCTGGAGGCACTCAGGGGCCAGCCCTCCCTCTCTCCTGGCAGCGCAGGAGCCCCAGGTCTGGGGTGCCACCATTTTCCACCAGCCTCGAGGGATCCACAGGAGGGGAGGAAGGGACGGGGTGCTGTGGGGCCACAGACCTGCCTGCGACGTTAGCCCGGGAAGGAGAGCGGAGGCCTGGGCCCCTGGGAGTCCAGACGCGAGGCAGCGCCAGCCTTCTGAAGTGCGGCCCAGTGGGACCCAGGCCTGCTCCAACCCCTGAACACGGCAGGTGCGGGGCAGTGCCACCCTCAGGCCAGCTTGTGCTCCAGACCAAGGCGCAGAGCCGGCGAGCCGGGCTCCCTTCCTGCCCAGTCAGAGCACTCGTGAGCTGGCCCAGCCCTTGCCACACATCACAGTAGCCCTAGGAGTCAGTGGTTTGGGCTACCACGCACAGGTGGGGAAGCAGGCTCAGGGCAGCCAGACCTGCCTGGTCTACGCTGAGTGATACAGAGGGGGACCCGCAACCGCCGCCTCACTGCCGCCTCCTGCCTGCCCACCCTGCACACCCTCATTTTCCGCATTCACTCCCCACTACATGGGGACCCCTTAGGGGAAATGTGGGTGTACTGGGGTCACAGCCTGGGCCTGTAATCCCGAGTCTGCAGGAAGTCCAAGGGCTCATGGCCCACTCACAGACTGCCAAGCTGTGTCTGCTTAGGCGACCCGGAGTGCCAGCTGCATCCCATTCACTCCCCACTACATGGGGACCCCTTAGGGGAAATGTGGGTGTACTGGGGTCACAGCCTGGGCCTGTAATCCCGAGTCTGCAGGAAGTCCAAGGGCTCATGGCCCACTCACAGACTGCTAGCTGTGTCTGGTTAGGCGACCCTGAGTGCCTGCTGCATCCCAGCCGTGGGGCTGGTGCTGGAATGCAGGGATGAGAGTGGCAGAGCCTGCCCGGCATGGTCCCCAGGCAGGGAAGGGGATAGCGAGACTAGGCCCCACATTGCTGCCTGCTTTGAAAGAACTTCCCGGGGCAGGGGAGGCGCCAGACGGGGTGGGGCCTCCCTCCCTGAGGCAGCACAAGGCTCCTTAAGGGCACCTGGGGAGAAGGCTGCTGGGACCAGCAGGAGGCGAGGGAGACGCCGGCAGGCCATTGGTGCAGCCAGGCCGCTTTCCTGGCAGCAGGTCTGTGGCTGAGGCCACGGGCCCGGGGTTGGATCACTTTACAGCAGCAGGAAGTCAGTGGCCTGGGCAAACAAGGACCAGCTGCCTGCTGGGACCTTGGGCAGAGGGCAGGATTAACAGGCGCCAGCTCAGGAGGGGCACCGCCAGGAGCCTGGGGGAGGGGTTGTGTGGAGCAGGCGAGGGGGGGTGCCTTCAAGGAAGCCCAGCCAGAGCCGCCTGAAAGCCTCTGGCACAGCCTCCCCATCACCCACTCCTGGCTTCCGAGTCGAACACGGACCCCTGAACCACCTGCCTCAGTGTCAGCCCAGACAGCCCATTTCACGACCCAGGTAACAGCGCATCCTGGCCAGCCGGTTCTGAGCTGCGTGGCCTCAGGCAAATGAACTCCTGGGCCCCTCCATTTCCTACTTACAAAATGGGCCAACAGTCGCCCTTTCATAGGGTTCTCATGAGGGTGACCGAGCCAGGAAATGGCACCTGCCACATAGAACACGCTCCATCCATCCAGGCCAGCAGGCGGTGAGGTGGTGAGGCCACTGGACTCCCACATGGCCAGCCACAGTTCGAGTCCCAGGCCTGGTGGCTGGCTTTCTCACTCGTTCCCTCTGTCTATCTGTCTCTCCTTCCCATACACACCCTATAGCAAAAGATAATAAATTACAAAAAAAAGAAATGCTCTATCCGTGTTACACCCCGAATGGCCGCCACTCCAGCCCCGGCCTCAGAGCGCTGCCCCTCGGGCTCCTGGGTAGTTTTAAGGAGCCCAGCTCAGCCTGCAGCTGTTGCCTTCCCAGCTCTGCAGTGCGATCTCTGCCCCCAGGACTACCTCTGCCCCTGCCCCACGCTGACGGAGAACAGGACGGTGCGTCTGTCCTCCTGGTCTGGGCTGCTGCCCCTGAGGGGAGCCAGAGCTGCCTTGGTCCTGGAAATAAGAGCAAGGCAGGCTCTGCCAGTGGTCCTGGGTCGGGCTCTGCCAGTTCGTGGTGGGCTCTTTGGGGAAGCCCCAGCCCCCCTCCCTGAAACCATGGCCGGCGCTGACTGGCAGCACAGGTTCCGGCTGGGCTTAGGGGCAGTGTCCCACTGTAGCCACAAGGTGGCGGCAGCGCTGCGCGTAGAGGCGCCTGCCCGTAGCCCTGAACCAGGGAGTGCGGGGCTGTCAGTTCAAGCAAGCGTGCACCACCGGCCGCCCACGTAGGCTCCCCTGTCCTCTGTCCTCTGCCCTCTGCCCATGGAAACTTCTAGTCTTACACCTCCCAGCTCGCAGGGCATGGGGAGCACTCGTGAGACGGGCCGCGGCCCAGCGGTGGAGCTTTGGGTGGGCCAAGGCGAGCTTTACAGAGCTGTCCACGATGCAGAAAGCCATGAGCTCGCCCACGAGCCGTTCCCCCAGGCACTTCTCTTCCCCCTTTGATCTGCAGCTTCCCTCTGCAACAGCCAGAGACCTTTGTCTACCTCTCACTCAGTCCAGGTCAGACCCACGCTCCGATACCTGAGACCCATCACTGCCACCGTGCTGGCCCTGTGGGGAGCCCAGTGCCTTCACCACCACGCCACCTGCTGGCCTGGATGGGGCGTTTGCTCCCCACCCCCGCCCTCCGAGGTGTCTGCTACAGGGCGCGTGCGCTTGCCAGTCAGAGAGACAGCGAGAAATCACCCCCCAGGGGGGATGGCCACGCCACAGTCCCTTCTCCTCCATTCTCCTCTTGGGATCTTGGGCACGCACACACATGCGCCTGGCGTGAGTTTTAAGCCACCGGGTCCGAGACTCGAACCGCAGTCGACTACATGGGAGTCCAGTAGCCATTATGCCAACTGCTGGTCCCGGATGGAGCGTTTTCTATGTGGCAGGTGTTGCGCTCTTTCCTGGCTCAGTCACCCTCATAAGAACACTATGAGGAACCAGCAGTTGGCGTAATGACTATGTCACTGGACTCCCATGTAGTCAACCGAGGTTCGAGTCCCAGACCCAGTGGCTTAAACGCACCTCAGGCTCATGTGCATGCGTGCCCAAGACCCTGAGAGGAGAATGGAGGAGAAGGGATTGTGGTGTGGCCATCCCCCCTGAGGGTGATTTCTCATTTTCTGTCTCTCTGTCTCTCTCTTTCTGGCAAGTGCCCTATAGTAAAAGCCTCTCCAGAAAAAAGAACCCTGTGAAAGAGCGACGGCCACCGTCCAGGCCCACTCAGTCCTCCACAGCCTCTGCTTCAGCACTGCGTAGCCACTGCAGCCCCCACCGCACACCCACCGCGGCGCACACCCGCCACGTCAGGGCTCGCAGGGAAGCAGGAAGGGAAGAGCACGGGGACGAGCACGTCAAGCAGTGGGCCGAGTACCCTCCCTGGAATGTCTAGTCCCACCGTCCCTGAGCCGCCCCCAGTTCCTGCAATCCCGGTGTCTGCACGTCCTGTCCAGCAGCCCAGAACCGCGGCTGCCTTGCAGAGGGCCTAGGCGGGCTTAGCAGCAGCCGCGTCTCACAGTGCTGGAGGCCGCAGCCCCACTGGGAGAGGCAGGCTGGTGTCCCCGAGGCCTCTCTCCTTGGCTGGCAGGTGGCCGTTCTCACCGCTGTCCCTCTGTGAGTGTCAGTGTCCCCACTGGATCAGGGACTCCCCGTAAGACCTCACTCTGCCTTACACCCCCCAGGCCTCATCTCCAAATACAGTCCCATTTGAAGCATTAGAGGGTTGGCTTCAGCGCGTGGACTTGGGGGACACGATTCGGCTGTGATGGGAGCACTGGTTCCCTCAGGTCCTCAGGCTGTTCTCCAGGACCCATAGGCTCCGAGGCCCTGTGCCACAGTGGGACCCACCACCTCCAGCCCTGCCCCTGCCCCCAGTGGGAGCCTGAGGGGGGCTCGTAGACCCACGCTGGGGCCACCCTGGCCTCGGGAGCCCGTGAGGACCAGCCGTGGGGCCAGGAGCAGAGCAGAAGGGAGGGGAGTGGAGGCTGGGTGCTCGCCGGAGCCACTGCTGCCCGTGATGCCTAGAACAGATGCGGAGGGGTGAGAGGGCAGGTTTCGCTTCTGCCTGTCTGGGGGAGGCCAGATGGAGGAAGCAGCCTCCCTGGGCCCTGTCCTCCACTCTTGCCTCCAACTCAGGACTCCTGTAGCCCTGCCCTGCCCTGCCGCGGGGCAGCCAGCATATGGGGGAGCCCACGCCAGCCTGGGCCCTGACTCCGCAGTGGGTCAGAGTCAGGCTGGCCAGGAGGTCCTGAGGTGTCTGTGATGCGTGGGGACAGGCCCGTGGCAGGGAGAGGCCTTCCTTCACCAGTACAGCCTCCCAGAGCAGATAGTGAGAGGCTCCATATTCTAGCCTGGTCT